TGACCTTGACTGATCTTTCTGTTATGTTTCCTTTGGGAAGTTTGTTCCCATATTTTTTTTTGGGGGGGGGGATATTTTCTTCTTTCTATGTGCAAATGGAGGCTCTTCTAACTTAAAATCTTTAAATTGCCTTCTTTCTATACAATGAATCAGCAGAGCTCTTCATGTTTTTTCAGTAATCTGGTCTTTACTGCACAACTGTAAATGTTGGACAATTTTGCTCCGCTAAAGTGTATTTCTGATAATACTTATCGAATTATATAGTTTTTAAAAAAGAAAAGGTGCAGTGGCTATAACATTCACTTTAAGATTCAAAAGTTGGTTACACTTTCTGTATAACTGCACAACTTATGACATCAACGATGTCATCATGTAAAAGTCACTTTTCAAGTCATACTTGGCTCATTTTGGTTCAGATGAACAATGGGTAATACGTGATCACCAGAAAAACGATTTGCGTGTGAAAAATGGAGGGAGTTTGATAAAAATATGATTCTTTTCTTTTTGGTACTGATTTTAACAATATGTTTAATCTGAATTTGCCTACGCCAAACTTAAAATTTGTAGGGATTATTGGAGAAGATCATTTGAAGTCTCACAGGAGCAAAAGGGTGATCATCTTCGCTCAATTGCTCTTGGATTACCTCCTTCAACAAATGGTACTGTCCTCCTCCTGTGTAAAAGGAAAAGAAGCAACAACCCATTTACGTGACTAACAAGGTTAACGCAGACTACACTTTAGGGTTAAAACTAAAATTGTTTTTCTGACACAGTCACGGGAGATTTACCTGGGTTCGATTACATTAACGCAAATATCCTTGCGTCTTTTATGATGGGCATGAAGTTAGGTCCACTCCTTATTTGTCGACCCTTAAAACAAAGTAAAATCATTGTTCTTCAAAGTCCAAACTTCGTTAGGTCCCTACAGGAAGATAAGCCATACGAGGGAACTTCAAAAGGCAGACTAACAACATTACTTCTTTTGTCACTTTATTCTATGTTTGGTTGGGCAGAAATAGTAGCTTCAAGAATGAGGCAAGGCCAGCCCTAAGTCTGAGTTGAAGTTACATGGCTGGGAGGTGCTGTTTGCCACATTTCGAGAGGCAACTGAGAGAGAAGCCGAAGTAAAAGAGGAAGGGATGGCAAATCCTGCATGCCTACTTACTCATTCGTTCGAGTCGACTAGAAGTAAATTATGGATACTTCAACTATGAAAACCACTCATTTCTCGCTCGTTTTACTGTTACCTTTCATTTCCTGCAACAAAACATAATATTAACCAAATTTGCATTAAATCTGTTAAATTACATTAGACTGAAACCCGGATTCACATGTTTTAATGGTACTGTAATGAATTGTCATAATACGAAAGCCTTATATCTCCTAATGTTTTGTCTGGAATAAGTCAGTTTTTTGGTTCACTGCAACGTATGGATAACGTAGATGACTGAAAGATAACACAACTGATATGTGTTTTCTCATTTGATATGTGTAGTGGCTATTTATGCAGGTTCTTTTCACATACAACTATTTCCCATTCAATTGGGAACTACCAGTGATCCCTGCCAACGACAATTCTGCTATATCTTCAGCTAATGACAGCCAAAAATATAAGTGCCCAAGGCAAAACTTGAGTGTTGCCTACTTTGTCGGCTACTTCAATTGTAAACTATAGTGTTCGTCTTCACAGATACAATCATGATTCATCACAATATATGACATTATCCGCATGTTATGCTATACATTGCGCGCATACTCATGATTTTGATACCATTACATATATATGTTTTACTTGAATGAAGTCGATTCCTCTCGTCATTGAATAAAATAAGACATGTTTAGGCTGCAATTTAGTAAAAGAGTAGTACTTACACAAAAAAGTAGCACTAATACAATTCTTCAGGCTACCGTCAGAATAGCTAGGAACACTCCGTATTACCAAACGATATAAATTTTTTAACGGTGTGCCCAGACAAAGACCAATTCATGTTATTTTGTACTTCTAACATTTCCTCTACAGTCACTTACGTTAACTTCTCTGTAAGGAAACAATTTTACCAGCCAAATGAAACTCTTACCGTAGTTCATATTTCACTGCTTTTACTGAACCTTTCTGTCTTACAGTAGTTCCTTCATACATATTTCCCTGCTTTCACTGTACACTTCTGTTTTCCACTCTGTTTTGTAACCAGCTAATTCTGATTTGTATCAACCTCTGTGTTAAAAGGCAGAATTGGGACTCGGTCGGGGCTCGCCCTGGGGTGACACACTCGTAAAATGCCCCTGGACTTATGTGTGGGACTTCGCACCGTGAGACTTAAACCTCGGCCATCAGAGGTTACGCCCCGAACACAGCCAATGCCCAGCGTACTAAGTTTGCCTAATAAAACTTTATATAGCTATATGTAACTAACCTTGTAAATCCTCAAATTTTCTTAATAAATCATTGACTATTCAAAATAACTTTTTCCTTGATCATAAATCATTAAGTTGAGAGTATTTTATGTCATAAGAAAAATAAAAGTTATTGTACGTTATTCACTAAAATTACTATGATAGTTAATTTTAAATAGATCTTTCATTTAAAAAGTATTTATTTATTAACTTTTATTATGTCTTTACTATATAATAGTCCGTAATTTTTTTTAAAATTATTTTTTAAAATATTCTTTTTCCCACTTGTACGAGATACAATACTTATTAATTTAATAGATTTATATTTAAATTGTGAATTATGTTTTCCTATAAATTCTCTTTCAAATAGAAAGCATATTAAATAAAAGGAGAATTTTAAGGCAAAATCAAATTATAATATCGAAATCCTTTCAAGATTCATTACTCCTTAAGAAATACATATAAGATTTTGTATCGAATACATTTCATACTTTTCGTATTATTCATAGTTGAATTATAATTTATAAATATTTTAAATAAATTATTTGTTATAATTTTGTGATTTTAATGTAATTTTTATAAATATTTTTTATTTTATACTATCTTAAAATTCTTGAAATTAATAAAATTTAAAAATACGTGGGACTTACGCCCCACGTCTCAGGGCTTACGCCTCTCTGATGGTAAAACGCCTTGCATCACGCCCCACCTTTTAAAACATACTATCAACAATCACCTATCTATATTAAATATGATGTAGTGCTACCATCAGATGATTTAATTGCTGAGAATGATTTCTTAATGCACTAACTACGGTGACACGTAAGTCATTTCCAAGATTAATTTTAGCTTACACCGGCAATTCATGACCAACACCTGTAAATTTTGTTGACACTTGTGCACAACATGGCGTAATTTTCTCTAACACTCACTATTCAAACCAACCCCAAAAATCGTCTCTCTAAATAATCTTCTGCTTCCCCTCTTCCTTCACTGTGTTTTAACTTTTCAGCTACACAGCAAGTTTTAACCAAAAAACCAAGGTAGTCCATTCATCTTATACTTTTTAATGTTGTTAAAGCTA